TTGATTTCCTACTAATTAGTTGAAAGAAATAAGATTTTCCCTACTGATTTTTCTTCAAAAATACCAAAAAAGTCTGTCATTGTCCCTACCTTAAGTTTGCTGAAGACAACAATCATCAATTTTTGTTGGTGAACTATATACTAAAATTTATCGACTAGAACAAATACAAAGGCTAGAGAAGGCTTGGTCTAGCTTTGGATAGAAAGGAGGCAACTTTTATGATACCAAGATGGCTTCAACAACAAGAAGGAAAAAATAGAGAGAGGGGGTGGGGGAGGGGAGATTTAGGATAAATTTGGATTCTTTCCACTACAGAAACCATGCTTACTTTAGGACAATATATAAAAAAATAATTCAAAACTTCCCTAAATGAACTCAACAATAAAAAAATAAACCCCTTAACAAACTTCTACTTAACATATAAATTATAGACTTATCCAACATAAAATAAAATGTCAATGACACAAAAGCATCTCTAGCTTCTGACGTAGGATTCTAGAAAGTGAGAGCCCTGTGACCGCATTCCAGACGACTAGACCGAATGGTCCAAGCAGAGCAGAGCTGAACAAAGCGGCTTCTCTTTCAATTCCTTTGCAATTTTTAGCATGTTTTCTATTATCCTTCCTTTCTTGTTTCCTACATATGTACTGTATTAGGATTTCGATTCTAAATTTTGTGTGTTTTCTGTTGTGGCAGTCATTGGCGTCTCAGAGTTTCCCTTCGAGAGTTGTATCCAAAAGTAGAGTGGTGTTCTGACTGTATCTCTCTCCCAAAGTGGTGACTATCCTCTTCTACCCTTCCCTGCATCTTTAGGACAATATATAAGAAAATAATTCAAAACTTCCCTAAATGAACTTAACAAATAAAAAATAAACCCCTTAACAAATTTCTACTTAATATATAAATTATAGACTTATCCAACATAAAATAAAATGTCAATGACATAGGAGCATCTCCAGCTTCTGACGCGGGATTTTAGAGAGCGAGAGCCTTGTTACCGCGTTCCAGACGCCTAGACCGAATGGTCCAAGCAGGGCAGAGCTGAACAAAGCAGCTTCTCTTTCAATTCCTTTGCAATTTTTAGCATGTTTTCTATTATCCTTCCTTCCTCGTTTCCTACATATGTATTGTATTAGGATTTGGATTCTAAATTTTGTGTCCTTCTGTTGGGGCAGTCGTTGGCATCTTAGAGTTTCCCTTCGAGAGCTATATCCAAAAGTAGAGTGGTGTTCCGACTGTATCTCTCCCAAAGTAGTGATTATCCCCTTCTACCCTTCCTTGCATCCTTCCTTTGGATATCGTCATCATCTTTCCCTGTTGCAACCGTGCCACACAGCATATCTTGCTTAATATTTGCAGTTCCAACCACTGCCCTCATTGTCCCAGCCCTCTGCTTTGCTGACACTGTTGTTCCAGACCTTATGCTTCGCTACTACTATTGTTCCAGGCTCTTTCACTTCATCGTCATCGTAGTTCCAGACCCTTCCTTGTTGGTTCCTGCAGTCGCCAGTTCTCCCAGCCACTTCCTCCGTTGTCTAGCTCCCTCTTTCTTGCTCTCCTGGTGGGGGAGCAACCGCACTTGTCGTTCCTATAGCTTCCACCTCCCCCTTGCAATCACCCACACACCTTTACTGGCTTCACACCTTACAACCCTTCCCCCACCCTTTGCTACCTCTTTGAGGACCAAACCCTCGCCGATCACCACCACCATCACAAGATCCACCCTACTTTGAGTCGGTGTTGTCATTTGTCGCAATTTCATATGTTTATGTGTTGTATCTAATGTAATTTACGTTTCAGTGTGTTGGTTATAACCGCCTATTGGTTTTTCAATAATAATATTTGTTTGTTTATTGTTGTTTGGGTTAACTCAGTTATTAGTCAAACTTCATCCAAATCTTGATATCCCTTAGACTGCCATCTAACATTCCAGATTTCTTGGCATCGCGCTTTTAGTCACAATCCTCCAATTAACACCCAATCTTCACCTATTGAATCTTAGAGAATTGTTCTTTCTTTTAAACAATATGATGTGAGAATCTCCATTCAAAGATATTCCTGATCATGGCTCTAAATTTTAGATTATTTGCTCCCACAAATGAACCATTTCACTCTCTCTTTTCTTTTAGACTTGTCCTTCCATTTCAATAAGTTGGGATGACCCATCTCTTATACTTTATATAAGATCAAAACGTAGAAGAAAAAGAAAACTTCGATCTTTTTCATGTCCCGTGAACGTGAAATAATGGGCATACTTTATATTTTTCCCTCATTTTATAAGCAAAAATAATTTTCTTTTATTTTATGGAAAATAATATCTCCATGTGAAAAATAAACTACTCAAAATTATATGACATGCATCCAATGGTAAGACTTCATAGACTATCTCATTAATAGAATTGTTAGCAATAGCAAATCTCAGATAAAAATGTCTTGTAATTTCATAGTTACTCTTATTTTGAAACCAATTAAAATAATAGAATTTAAATGTTGAGCGGTAACTAACGCCAATCTCTAAACCAAAGCTGCAAAGATACGATTTTCTTCACTACATAAATCTAAAATGACAACGAAAATGACAGGCTTCACATGAAGCTTAACGTGAAATACTATTTCCCGAACTTACACAATAATATGAGCATGCACCATCAAGAAAAATACAAGATTTGCCTTATAACAGAACCGACCTTAACTAAACTTTTTTGAATTAGTAATGAGTGTTTTTTCTCTTGTCTTTCAACTTTAGTCTCCTTATTTGAATATAAATTCCAACATTCCTTAAGCTTGTGATCAAGTTTTTGTAGTGGTGACACAATAGTTTAGTCTCCTGCACATTTGTAGCTAAACTTCCAGCCTTCTCCTTTGTACGATTGTAAGCTAGGATTTTTGTCCAATGGAAAAGGCCAAATTTTTTATCCTCAAATGTTATAGCTTTTGTCATAGCTTTAAGGACATGAATAATTAGAATAAGCTTCAAATATATGCGAAGGCTTTCATGAGAAAGCTTTTATAAAAGCTTGCTACACATTTGACAAAAACTGATATTCTACAGTTGGCTTCTAATCTCAGTTGTGCATTCTAGACGTTTATTCATCATCTTGCATCAAATTCTATCACTGGATTCACTTTCCTAGTTCGAATTAGAGGAGACAGAATTGAGGCTTTAACAATTTTTTGGACTAAGCTAAAGTATACTAATTAATGTTCTTAGATTGAGAATACCCACCACAATAAAGCATGCAGAGAAATATCAAACAAGTAAATGCAAACTTTCTACTCAAAAAAATTAAAAGAATAAGAAATATATTTCAAGTAACTTAATTAATTTTCTATTACCCCACTTAAAAGTTCCATTATAGCAAGGAAGCTATTAGTTTGTTTCTATCATGAAATGAAGATATTATTTTCGTTATTTATATATTTTTCCCAATTTTTCTCCTTTTTTAATGAATTCTCCTAAGCAAGTTGTGTCTTTTACTAGACGACCCTCTTTCTATCTTGGACAAGTGTTTAAATACATGCTATTGGTGCTACCTTAGCAAAAGCTTCAAAGGCAACCATTATTGTGGTCATGTCATCAACCAAGTCGGACCCGTTGTATTTCATGTTGAGAAGGCCTTCATCAAATGTCTATAATCTCTCCTCATAGTCATAGTCTCAGATTACTTTATAAAATCACCAAGAGTGTCCTTCTCAGCACTCAATTTATTCATGTTTTTTTCCCCTATGGATGCTCTGATGTCAAACAATGACTTGAAATTAGAGAGTGTGGGAGACTTTTACAATCCATACAAATTTTTACAGGGAAAAAAATTATGTTTCCTACGAATTACTTGAGAAAATGAAAACTATACCCATTGATTTTTCTTCAAAAAGCAACATGCATGGCGGAGTCCCTACCATAGCTTTGTTGAAGACAGTAATCATCAACCATTTTGGGCCAATTGAACATCTAAATTTGTCAAATAGAACAAATACAGCGAAGGATGTTTGGTGCCCATCACCAAGAATAGCTAAAATTAGCAAATTTGAACTTAGTTGGAGTTGAAAACGACAGGAATAAATAGGTGTACAAATAGCCATTGACTATAGGAGGCAGCCTTTTGATGCCCTTGATTGGGTCAATGGCTACAAGGAAAGAGGAGAGAAAGAAATTGACTAGGAGAAATTTTTAGTAACTTTCATCCCAGAAAACATTCCCATTTATGTTAAAATGTAGCAGAAAACACTTTAGATCTTACATAAACTAACTCAATAATAGAACAAAACAAAACTTCTAAGTAAACTACTAAGCAAATTCCTATTTTCAAATTATCAGCTTATGCAAAACATGCTGAGAAATTCAAAATTCATCCTAATCATGTTGCCCTGTTGCCCTCTGAACCGCCATCCTGATTTTCAACATCAAACTTCAAATTGATGAATTGGCTTGCCCTAACAACCTAATCATTATTTTCAGTGGTGAGATATTAGAATCTCTGCCCAAAGATCATCCTAAACCGTACCATCAAGGCTTGTTATTCATTTTTCAGTGACAAACTGATAACAAAGTACAAGTCTTGAATTAAGGAATTATATAAACTTTCTTTGCTTGCTGTGGCACTTCAAAATATAATTAAATAAATAAAACAAGCTTCTGTTAAATTGGAAATTAGAGTGGCAAACTGAGATTGAAACTTGTTTAAGCTCAACACAAAATCATGTGTTCTTCATATTCAATTTGACATCTCAGACAACACATAACAGGAATGAATGAAAAATGAAGATTCACAATGCAACAAGGAAAATAATTATACAAAGATCTTTCTCTTTAAATAAAGCAACTAAAATTATTACACCAACCCGCAGCACAGCACTAGGTTTTCTCAGCTATACTATCACAATTTCATTAAATCGCAGATCTTAATTCCAAATTTCCCTCCCGCTCCGATTAACGGGGGAAAAAAAACTACTATACTAGTAGAAAATTTAAGTAAGTTGAATCCAGTTGACAGTCATACTTCTACCTGAGACGAACTGTAACGAAGAAGAAAAATCAAGCAAAACCCCGTTCACACAGCCTGATACATCACACTTGGAGATCGCCAATCAGAGTTTTTATGGAGATATTATCCTCGCATATCCATAAAAACAGAAATTAAACCATAGAGGACCGAAAACAGATCCAAAAAATCCCATCACGATTCGGCAAACCAGCTACCAAAAAAGATTTATTGGCTGAAATTGGCACGCAAAGTATCCCTAAAATAAGCAAAGATTCAAGATATGACCTAAAACCTAACTAAATATCTAAGCCATGGAAATCTCCCAAAAGCTCACCTCAAATCTGGAAAAGATTAAAACGGTGGGCTGGAATCCGGGACTCATCACCAATCCATCAACTGTGCTGCAGCAGAATTGTGGGTTCCGTCAAATCCGAAGTTCTCTCTTCCGTGGTGGTTGGATCCCAGTCGGAATCTAAGTTAATTTACCGGAGAAGATTGCAAACAGAAAAAAACAAAGATTCACTCTCTCAATAACCTCCGAGCTCCAAATACTAATTTTTATAAAAACTCCTTTTTTTTTTCTTCGCAAAATTTCGATGGTTATTTTATTGCGGGATTTACATGCATACCACCAAAAACTGCTATATTATGCATTTAATACCTTAAAATTTAATTTTACATAAATACCACCCGAAGCTTATGAAGTGCCCGATTCTACCACTGTTGCATTGCAGGCTGATGCAGTAATCTTCAGTCTTCTATCTGGTTTACCCAAATCTCTTCTCTGATAACGTCCCGCCGGAGATTAGTCGGCTGCAAAATTTATCCAAAGTACACATCAACCTCTTTAAAAATCACCTCGACGGCAGCATCGCCCCATCCATCTCGTTGATGCGAAAAAATATTACATCAGTACTACGCACGTAGAGTAACATGCGTAACCAATGAAATCACGCCACGACACCCCGCGCGATAGAGAAAAAAAAAACGGTGCAGTAACACGGAGAATATTCCCTCATGTGTTATTGATGTGTTATTGTGTGTTATTCATGTGTTATTGGGGCCGGGGAATATTCTTGGTGTTATGTTATAATAACACAATAACAAATCAATAACACATAAATAACACATGAATAACACGAGCGAGAATATTCTCCCGTGTTACTGCGTCGTTTTTTTCTCTGTCGAGAATATTTCCCGTGTTATTCATGTGTTATTGTGTGTTATTCATGTGTTATTTTGTCTGAGAATATTCTTGGTGTTGTAATAACACAATAACACATCAATAACATGTAATAACACATGAATAACACATCAATAACGCGGGAGAGAATATTCCTTGTGTTACTGCGCCGTTTTTTTTTCCTTTATCCGCCGGGGGGTGGGGCGTCGTGACGTGATTTCATTGGCTACACACGTTACTTCTACGTGCGCAGTACTGATGTAATATTTTTTCCGTCGATGCAGAGCCTCATAGTGGTTGATTTCTCTTCCAATAACCTCTCGTGCCTCTTTCCAAGCAATGGGGATGGGTTGGGATAGTCTAAAGAGACGGGTATCGTGCCAAAATGGCGCTCAGGATTGCAATGCGAGAAGATGGTTGTTGTGTGAAACTTTTGTGAGGAGCAGAGTAACGAAGTGGTAGAAGTGGCCTTCATAAGTTTTGGGCGGTATTTAAGTAAAATTAAAGTTTAAGGTGTTAAATATGTAATATTGATTATTTCTAGTGGCGTGTATGTAAACCCCCTATTTTATTTAATCCTTGAAATTGCATACATACCTCACAATACGGGTATCAATTCGGGTTAAAAACGACCCGGCATGAATAGTGTCTACCCGAACCTAACATGAACTTGAGGTTGACCTGCTAACTTGAACCCGACCTAAACTTTCATTCTTATTTGCGTCATGTTTGGGTTTTCGAGTTTAATAGGTCAAATTTTCTGGCCCGAACCCAACTCAAAAAATATTTGGGTCAACCCTATCCCAAATTTTTCGAGTCGCCTTGGCGATCAATTTTTGATAACCCCACCTCACAATATATAATATCTAAATCTCCATATTTATACTTATAACACCCACAATTTTAATATCATATCAAAAAATAATATTATAATTAGTTTTCTTAAAAATAAATTACACATTTTTATGTATAGATTTATAAGGCCAAATATTATGCGTGTAAATATCACCGTCGGCATTAATATGTAAATACATAAAAATTGTGTGGTATGTACGTAAATCGTCCATTTAAATTAGACTGGTAAGAGGATGCTAATCACGTCCTTATCGTTTTATCCGTCTATTCATTATTGCTTCCTCTTGTGCTGTAACTACTCTATTTAATTTAATTTATTTTATTGAAATTATGACTACTAAAGTGATAATTGTAAATTTATATGATTTGTTGAAATTTATTTATAATTTTAATGATTTCAAGCCAAACATTGGAACTCTCATGGATCCCTTCTTTTTTACTTGAGAGATTTTAGGGTCAGAGTTTCTAAAAGAACATTATCCTTAAAGTTAATTACATATTGCGGCATACCTAAGAAGACTCTCGATTAAAAAATATTGTTTTAGTTCAGCCTGTATTCATTCGATGATAATTTATAATTAAAAGAAATTAAGAAAGATGGGATTCAATTTATGAGGATGAATGCATGGTTAGATAGGCAATCCATTATTCAGGCAAAAATGAAGAACTCTTGAGGCATGCTAAGGCAAATGATGGGGTGGATAGGGATTTATGGAGTGATGAAAGCTATGGGTAAGTTCATTAATAAGGGAGATACAATCATAGGATTGTGATTAAAAAAAAAATCTATGCTTTGACTATTAAAACAATTCCTTTTTTTATAAGAAGTGAATTTCTTAGTTATTAAAAATATATCACTATCATAAGGACACTCGAGAAAATGAAAACCAACGAAGATAACCTCAAAGTTGATGGGACTTTAATCCTGGAATATCAAACAATATTTTGATCTTAAAAATAAAAATAAAAAATAAAAAAACAAAACTATTTACTTGAAGGACTTGTTAAAAAATAAAGGATCTGTAAATTATATAACTTCAAAAGAGATTAGGATAATGAGGGATAATTTTGAGGAGAAAAACCTGAAGAAAGTGGAATACCTTATGAAAAAGTTATACTATAAGGGAGAAGAAAGCTAACCTAAGAGATATGATAACTAGGTTAGTGTATATTATGACTGCTCCAAGAAAAAGAGTTTATATCATAAGTGAGATGATTTAACCCAAAATATAGCTTAACTAAACATAACAACTAGGCATACTAACCTAAGGGACAAGAGAACAACCCAAATTAAAATTTCAAGGTTATTTATCAACCCGATTATCTCTCAACTCATAGCCTAGTTAGCTAGAAAAGTTGATCATCCTTCTCTAACCAAAGGATTATTACTAACAATCATGGGTTTAATTGTCCAAAAGGATCTTATACAATTGAAGGTGCAAGGGGATATAATGCTAAGCAAATAGTCAGGAATTATACTCTACAACCATAAAATGAGAGATGAAAAGGGAGGTGATATATCTTAAGGATTGGAAGCCTTCTAGGTCATAGAAGATTCCAAAATGTTAAGAATTACATCATGGTCACACAACTAATTACAAATCCCAGAAAGTTTGACTTTCAATCTGCTCAGCTAAGAATGCCACTAACTTACCTAATCATGCGTATAAGTGATGGATTGGACAAACTTAAATTGAGAGAGACGAACACACCCGAAAGTTGCCTAAATGGAAAAGAAGTTTCTGCGTGAAGTGTATTGATCCAAGATATATGTGCTAAAGTGAATCTAAGAATACATGCAAACTCATAAGATCATGATAATATGTGCATTAGTAAGATTAATTGGAGGTTAATATATCAACACTTGACAATGCACAAGCTAAACCAAATGTTCAATCACTACTTCTGTAGAAGATATATGATATATGTATTTACATTTCAAATAACTCTAATCTATAAGTGAAAGACGTGCAATCTCTGCATTCTACGTCATCATAGATAGACCGCGTTTAGCAATTAGTATAAATTAACAAAAGTATTATAAAAGAGCTAAAAATACAGGAAAATTTTTTAATCACCTATCATCCAAAAGCTTGTCATTCAAGGGCCTCTTACAAACAAAAATAAAGCTCAGATCATATCACACTTGCATGCCATTTTGACTACAATCATTGTATTATGCTAAATTCTACATTAGTCTAGTCTATAAATACAAGGAGCAAGCATATAACATGTTTGTGTAATATAGGTGTGCAAATATGGATCTAGTCCGTCCAATCAAAATCACTTAAATTGCACAATCATATATACATATATATATATATATATATATATATATATATGATTGTGCAATTTAAGGCATAAAGGACAACACATTCATTATCGATGTAGTTATAAGGGTTGTGAATTTGGCTCGAACATCATAATCGCTCTAAAATTGAATACAATTATGGCTCGTATCGGGATTGGATTTAGATCGAAATAAATGAGCCTAGCCTCAAGATAAAATGTGGAATTAATTTTCCTAGAGCCAATTTTGAGTTGACCCCAGCTCGGTTCAAATCGGATCGCTAAAGGTCTTAAGGATGCTAGGGATGTGAATTTAGAAAATTATGCTAAAAAATTGTTATTCGTTTGAAAATCGATTCAAATTTTGACTTAGATCGAGATCAGATCGAAATAAACGAGCCGATCTACAACAAAATTTTAGATAAATTTTTTTTTAGTTGAGATCCAGCTCGGCTCAAAATCAAATCGTAACAGCTCTAAATAGAGGAATATTTTGTATTTTTAACATAAATAATTAATTTAATATTAAAAGTAATTTTTCCTTTTTGAAAATTAAATAATTTTATTCAACGAACTTAATCTTAATACAATATATTTTCCACTTATTTTAAATTTTATGGATGCTTGCATTCATTTAAAAATTTTATTGTTAATTAAATTAATTCACTATTTAGCTAATATTAGAAAAAATATATATATTTAACATTCAATAAAATAACTGAACTAAGTTTATATTAATATTCCAAATATATTGTTAAAAAAATTAATGAATTAAATATTTTAAATAATTGTTGAAAAAAAAATTTCATATTTTTTTTCAATAACAATTTTAGTATTAATTTAAAATTAAGTTAAATATTTAATCATATAAATATACTATTTATCTTTTCAGAAAATGGAGAACGATTATAAGAATATAAACTATTTTATTTTGTATTTTTTTTCAATTTTTTACACCTTGTAGAAGTTCTAGTTATGAATAAAAAAAATTTTAAACTATATTTGTAAAATGCATGGTTTGTCCTTAAAAAATTCATATCATGCACGGATTTCAAAATAGTTTGAGCAATAAATAATTCCGAGCGCGAATTCATGACCATCCGAGCTTCAATTTCATAAAACATATAATCAAACTGATTGTCGCGATCGAGCCCAATGAAGAGCAAATCAGTTTGATTTGAGTCAAATCAAGGCCAAATCAAGTTGTTCAAGCACAATTGAAGGTTTTAGAAGAGCAATTTGAATGGCCAAATGAATTTTAAATTTGACAACCTTATAGTCAAATCGAGTGTCTCGTCGAGTTGAATCCAACGAGTCCAAGCTCACTTGATTCTGACATCATTAAGGCACTCAAATACTTATAAAATATCATTTGATCAAAGAGATTGCTCTGGGCCTAAACCTCCGGATTTATCTAGCAATTACAGATGGTGTCACTAACAAAATCTATAAATAGACCATACTCCCTTCATGCAGGGGGACTTGGGACCTAGACCTCGAGGAGAAAGCTAAAAGTGCTCGAACAACTTGATCTTGAGGGTTCCTGAGCTCCACCACTGTTGAATTACCATCATCGTTTCTCGAGGCACCTCAGCCACGGGACCATCATTGCATGGTCATTGTCGTTGAGCCTTTATTGATGTCGGAACACCATTGCCTCTTCACAACAACCACCACCATTGGACACCTGCTGCCCGGTCATCGTCTTCTGGCCGCCGAACCATTGCTTCACGACCATCGTCGTCTCCCCGCCCCCCGGGGCCACCCCCCCGCTATCCAGCCATCGTCGTCGAGTTGATGCTACTGTCGGACCACCGATGCCTGACCAACCTCCTCAAGCCGCCACCACTGCTAGCCCATCGTTGTTGCTTCCCGACCACCATTATTTGGCCACCACTACCGAAGACACTAATGACATATTTTCTAGCACAAAACCCCTACGGTTAGCTTTTCTTTACCACAACCGGGTCACTGTCATTTCCTTAGCATTTTCTACCACTTCCCAAGCCAAAGTCACATCCTACTTGTATAATATTGCTTCCGGCTATTCAACGTTTAGTAATGTTTTGCAACCTACATCGCCATTGTGGAATCATTTCAACTAGTTCTGACCCCGTGAGTTTTGCTCAATCGTGTTTTCCATGTAAAGAACTCTTGTTGTCTTTCTTTTGATTTTTTTCTTCTATGTGTGTGTGTCGAATATTCTTAGACACTAAGACGATAATATTATATATATCTATCAACGCATATTTACGAGCATGCAACAATATTAATACAAACAAGCAATAATAATATTTTAATAATAATATTATTATTATTTTATTATTATTATTATCATTAATTGCTAAGTAATTGAGGAGAAATTAGGGGTGTAAATGAGGCGAGCTAGAGTCAGCCCAGTTTCAGCTCGTGTTCGGCTCGTTTATTTATCGAGCGCAAAAATCTATTCATTAAATTTGTTCTCATAGCGAACAGATCACGATCAGATCACGATCTGTTCCCAAAAACAAGCTGGTTTGACAACTCAAGTCACATAGTCATAGGATGAGAATAATAGGGTGAGAATTAAATCTTATCATTTATATTAAAATATTCATTTAGATAGAATTTAATATATTTTTATTTCACTTTTTAATGAATAGTTTTAATTGATTATAAATTTTTGTAGCATTGCAATTCATTAAATTATTTAAAAACAATACTCATCAATTATGTGTGTGTGTGTGTGTGTGTGTGTGTGTGTGTGTGTGATATATACATATATATTGACACACACACACACAGACACGGTTGAGACGTTTGGGTTTGATGTGTGCTAGAAAATTCGCGTCAATAGAGTAACAGAATATTCGCTTAGCTTGTACGAGAGTTTATCAGACACACAGATGAAATAGAAACAAGTAATGACGATTCTATAAGTTCTTATGTGGAAAACCCATAAAGAAAAAAACTACGTGGTCTGACCTAGTTGTGAAAATCCACTGATTATTGATGATTAATGAAATTCTTTATCCCACAAAAAGTTAACTATATTTTTCATATTACAGTGTCAACTAACGACATCTCGTCGGTGGTGATCAATGGTGGTGGTCGTCAACGACAGTTACCGGAGGTCGATGGTGGTTAACGACGTTCGGCGATGGTCGACTGAGGTAAGGTCATGGTTGATGACGGTCGGTGGTGATGCTGAGCAAGAACTCCTCAATGTCTTAGGCTCTCTCTCTAGGCTTAAGCTCTCCCCTCATGAGAGGGGTGGGGCTCTATTTATGTTGTTCTTGGTGCAATTAATGTGGGAATATGAACAATTTTGATCGAATGGTCTGGAGAGCTTCCCTCATCAGATGATGTTTAATGAACATTTGGATGTCTTAATGATGTCGGAACTGAGTGATCTTGGGCTTATTAAATTCGTCTTGTTAAGATGCTCGATTCAACTATAAACTTTTCATATTCAACATCTGTTTGACCTTCCAAATGTGTCAAAAAATCTTCTAAGAATGGTTTAATGGCTTGTCTGGGCTTGATTTGACTCGAATTGGACTCTTTGATATCATTAGGTCTGTCTCATCGAACTAACCAGTTTAACTATGAGTTTGTTGAACTTAGAGCTCTGGATGAGTTTTTATCAAAGATTTTAATGTTTCTTGCTCAAAATATCGTCTCGAAATTTGTTTTATGTTTCAAGATTCGTGTCGGATGATTAAAATTTGTTGGTGGCGTATCAGGGTTCAAATTGCATGTGTCGCACAGGCAATACGTCAATATCACCATACTAGTTCCTTTTGATCATAAGACATCAAATGGTAATTTTGATGTTTTAAAATGAACTGTGGAGCGTTTTGTAAGTGAACATTGTTTGAGATGAATTTCAATCATCCTCATCCTATTTTCACATTCATTGTGTAATATTACATTGTGTGTATGTTGCTCTCACCATGTCTGATCAACTTGTCTCGCGGAGTATATGTGAAGGTCAACAGTTGGTTGAGCTTTAATTAGCTTCTGGTCAACAAGATCATCTCGATTAGCAGAGATTCACTTGGTTGATTATAGCGAAGCTGTCGATCATTGAATTTTGATGGGTAGCCTCTGGGTGTCCCTAGAATGGTTGGAACACTGCGGAGTTAGATCTTTACTTGGACGAGCTATGTTGAGACAGTTAACTCATATACTCCTTCCTCTCATTTTTTATTGAGCTTCTCGTTTTTGTGTCCTTTTGTCGTATTTCATTTGTCCCGGGTTCGGATGACTTTGGTCTTGTTAGCTCGGCTCTAGCTGCTTCACCTATTCGAATAAGTGTGTTTCATGGTCTTCTGTAAGGGACCCTTCTTAGTCGTGCTCTTTTCATTTGGTCCATTTTATCTGCGCATTTTTTTATGGACATAGTGCATTGCTTCATTTGCGGCCTTAATTTGAACCATTCTCATTACAAGGATCATGATTTTGACATTTAAAAAGAGTAAAAGTAAAATAATTTTATGAATATAAATATTTTAAATTTTCATTGAAAAAGATAATATTAAAGAAGTTAAATTAGAAAAAAATTACATTAAGAAAAATGGAATGGAACTCAAAGCTCTTAAATATATATATAT